TACTTTACCTTGAAAACCCATTTTGTTTCCAGTGATCTTGCATTCAGTTGGAATATTTTACCTAGTCCCAGACTTGATTCTTTTTTATGAACCCAAGCTCTCCATCCATTGCTGCTTTCTACTCTTTTTCTATAGACCTGAAAATAGTGTCCTCAAAATGCCTAGGCTCCACAACAACATGCAATGCTACTATAAATATTTCCCATTGATCTCAAAATATCATTTGGTACTAATCCATAGAATGATCTTGGAGTCTGTTAAGATTATATAGATGGATCCAAGTCATCTAAAATTATCTCGCTCCAACTATCTCTAGCCTGTAGAGAAACAATTTCCTCTTCCATTATTGATCTATGACAGTCTCCTCGCTCTCGCATGAGCTCAAATCTTAACCTATTTCTTATTTGTGCATGAAATCCTACTCGAGAAACTTAATATACCACAACTCTCTCGGTCATAGTCTCATTATATTGCTCACATGTAAACACAACCTATAGAGTGTCTAAAGTAGTGTATAAATACACACTTCAACTTTCTAGGATCTAAAGTTTACATCCAATAAAAAGTAGCATATGAAAGCAACATCCCCACATGGACGTAGTGATCCAACACTGGCCATCGACCGTCCATGATTCATAGTGTATTGAATATACCAATACTGATCTCGAATGTACACGGTTCAGAACATATGTCATCATTAATGACACATATTCCCAAAACCAAATAGGTAGATTAGCATAAAGTAACATTATGAACCACATCTAATGCAGTTAAATTCCTCGTTACCGTAACACCATTTTGTAGCAGAATATAGGATATCATCATCAGTTGTATAACTTTTCCTTTCTTTTGACATAGTTCTCTGAACTTCCAACATAGATACTATCTCATGATTAGTGCGCAAAGCCTTAATGTTTTTGCATAATTGACTATTCACCTTGCTAATTTAGCACTTGAAATAAATTCAAGCACTAAACTAGGCTCGAAATCAGATACACATGATCGTATATAGAGTTTCTCTTTAACCATGAGGAATCAGGCTTCACTTTGAACCTTCATAGGTATCGGTTTGCACATAACAGAGTATAGTCATTGCAAGAGAGGTGTTGCTAGGCTTGCCAAATAGCTTTGTAGTGATTTTTACCCATGAGACCATGCTCGTAGATGGACAAATACCTTAGTACATATACCAAAGAGGCCGCACTCAGTAAGCCTACATGTGTCCTCTAATATGACTTAGTCTACTATACCATAAATCAGATATAATCTTAATTCACTGTAAAGATAAAATAGAAGATAACTTAGTTATCTAGTAATGAGTTACATTCTAAAATCAACTAAGCTACCAAGTTGACATTTTAGAAGCAAAGAAATCTTGAAATAAATCTAAGTTACCCATAAACGAGAAATTAAAAATTGAATCTCACAAGTCTAGTTATCGAGAAAAAAATTCCTCACTATTAGTGAGATCTTATGAAATATCCTAAAAGATCTATTTATTCTCTGAACTCAACAGAAATCTACATGTACGGGTACCTAGCATCTTTGCATAGAACCTATCTAAATATTTTTGCTTCTATCTAGAATCTTCTGAAACTCTATGAACCTATCTGCCCTGCAGAAGTGGTTCACGAATTTCAAGCTATCTCAGTTGTGTGCACTTATGCTTAAAATGATTATCTTGTCTATACTCATATTAAAAATGATTATCTTGTCTATACTCATATCAATTGATCTTGCTCTTATTAGTTGGCTTATTCACCTTTTAGTTCGCTTCTTTAATTTTAAAACTATTTCGAAAATCTCCAGGTGTGGCCATTGGTTGTTCAACTAGTCTTGAACACACTCTGGTGTTTAGACTCTAATTTTACTTTTATTTGCACATCTCAAGATGTTATCGCATCTACGACGTGCAATAAAAATAACAAATGGCTTTCCTAGAGTTATGTAAAGCCCCGACAACTGTCTCGATCTGTCGATCCTAGCTCGACACAATTCCAGCTATCTCATGATCCATGATTATAAATGTTATCATCTGAAGGTGAATTTGATGTTCTGCCTAACAGTAATATCAATTTGAATCCAACTTAGTAATAAGAACTCAGATCCTCATTGGAGAGATATATCCAAATCTTGCATTAGAGCATCCAAGAAGCTCTTTGCATTCAGATGTTCTTCATGCTCAATAAGATCGCTCCTTATCGCAGTCCACCAAGTTAACCACTTGAATAATCTTTCTGCTTTCACATCTTGTACTGACAGACCTCAGATCATTGAGTCTGAGTTGAATCCTATTCCGACTCAGATATTACCGCTTCAATACTCACCAAAATATTCTGCTTTCAGGAGAAAGTGAATGTTTTGTCCGGGACCGATGTTAAAATACTATTTTGGGTATCTTATTTCTAAGAGAAGGATTATGACACTTTAATTACATATACGTTAATATCATTAGCATTTACGTAAAGTAGTATTCTTCTCTGAAGAACATTCCATCACATTAAGCCGTTTATACCAATAATAAAATAGATCCCAAGGAAAAAGAAGAAGGCCTAAGACCCTAATTACGGTATTCAAAGATATAATTATTTAAATCATTATAATTTTTTAAAATGGAATATTAGATTTTTTAGAGATAGACTTGATTAGGTAGCTAAATCATAATGCCATTCTACTCTAAATCTTCCACTTGAAATTATTTGTTTGTAAGATTTAGTATGTGTCTGAACATGCGACATGACAATTATAAACAAACAATTTCATTTTAATATTTAACTAACATATTTTAATCTTGTCAATTTTATTAGGGTTTTCAATTCTTGTGAAATTGGCACACGCCCCAAACGCTCCTATTGGAGTAGCTACCCTTCAAAATCTTTAAGATTTTATTAAGATTTTATAATTAAATTTTTGGTGTATAAAAATAAATTTTCAAAACTTCCAAAGTTCAAAAATTATTATTATTTTTTAAAATTCTTAAAACAACTTTGTTACAAATTTAGTAAGCCCCACATTTGAAACTTCTAAACTTGCCATATTTATCCAAAAATTTTTATTAAAAAGAGAAAACAAGCCATATTTATGGTTTTGCTCTTAGAATCAAAACCCTAACGGTTGCTGACCTTGTTGTGGCCCTAGCATTGGCAATGGTGGGTGGCTGGCCTTTGGCGCTTGTGCGCAGAGGCTCCACCCATTGGATGCACGCTGGGCGTTAGTGCCTTACACCGACGACGGCTGTATCTAGGATTTTGATTTTTTTTCAATTTAGAGTTAAAAACAGTAATTTTTAATTTCTAAAAAGAAAAAATTCTAGTCAATAAAAATAATAAATTTCTAATTTATTAAAATTGCCCACTAGTTCATAAAATGTGAATTTTTACAGTAGATTTCACATCTTGGATGTTAAAAATTAGATTTTTACACCAAATTTTTTTATTTTTTAATAAAAATGATTTATTATTAATAATAATCCTAAATTTCTATTCTAGAGACCAACATAACCATCAAGAAACTACATATCTAATTTAAACAAATACAAGATGCAATCACAATTAGATCTAATCCTAAAATGAGATAAAAGGTGTGAGCAATCCTAAACTTGCTTTGATTTCAATGTAAACTATGCATACTCATATATGAATATTGAATCTTTTGTTTAGAGATTATCTGTTCCATATCTACAGAAGGATTGCTACGCACCTCTTCTTGATCTTCGAACAAAAGCCAGTAGGCGACCACACCATTGATACGGTGTGAAGCCCTTACTGATCACCCCGCGACTAACGCATAAATCATAGAATTGAGGGAGGTAGAATATGATAGTAGTATGTTTTTCTCTATACTTTTATTCTTTGTATAAGAGAGAGAGAGAGTGTGTAGAGAGAGAGAGGACAAAACCTTAACTGTTTAGGATTAGGAACTGGTTCACTAAATAACTATTTGGGCCCACCTAGGATCCACCTCCACTCAATTGGGCAGATCTCACTAATTACAAACATTTTTGTTTTCGACATATTCTTCCTTAATTTCACTGGTGGTTTACATTTAATGTAGGATCTAGTTATGAGTTATTGGTCCTAGAGACTTCCTATTCCACATGAGGATGTTTAATTCCATTTCAATTGTGTCCAAGGAAGTAACCCTAAACATAGATATTATCTACTTTACGATTCATGTTGTAACCTATGTTACATAGACACAGGTATAGGTACAGGGATTGAAAATTTGTCAAAATGTAGGGTATGGGGTCACGACTACATACATATATTTGAAATTAATAATTACATAAGATCAATAGTATTTTTTCATTGACATGTTATGAGAATTGAAATTCCTACAATATTTTTATATTTCTTTTATTTTGTAGATTATAAATTGTAAAATTGCTCGTTAGTGAAGTAGATACTCAAGCAACCATTGCAGTCTTGAATTGGGTGTTGACACAAATGAATCTAATCTATCTAATGAGTTTCACGAAGTGGATGTGAGAGTAGGATAAACTTGCAAGAAGTGTATGACGAGTGTTTTAATTAGAACATGTGGTATGTAACTAAGTACACATCTGAAAAATATATGCATATTTGAGTCATGTCGGTGTCCGATATGGGTGCAATACATGGTAGAAGCGTCCAAGGTGTGTCCAACAAGTGTTAGTGTCTGGTACGTGCTGGGTACATGTACAGCTTCATGACAGAAGTACCCAGTTACCCTATATCATAACATAAATGTGGAAGATAAGATGTATCATTGTTAGGCTACAATTTTTCTTGTGCAAGCTTCAGTTCAATAGACTTTGCTTGAAAAGTATAATAGTCTAACATTTTTATCTCACTAGATTATTTGCTTCCTAAGATTCCTCATTCTTCAAGTTAATGTAAAAATTTATTTAGATATTTGCATCTGCTCTATGACTTTTTTTTATTCATTGCATCTTTCTTTTTCAAAAGAAAAAATAAAATGAAATGAGGAGGTTTGTAAACTCCAAATGATTGACTGTGCAGGAAGAATTCCTTTTGCATTTCTTGAGGATATCCATGGAAGATTTATTAAGTTGTATGGCCGGGCTTGTCATACTGCTCTTGCGTATGCTATGAACGAAGAGTTTTCAAGGGTTTTAAGTCAGCAGATGGACTATTACTCAAATGACCCTAATGCAGACAGAATGAATCGCATGAAAGGGGAAATGAGTCAGGTAGAGTTCCCATTTGCTATTCTTATTTTTTCCATTCATGCCAATCTATATTTTGACCATGGAGTTTGTTAGAGTTGTCCAAATGTCTGGATATAGGGTCCATATTCCAGTAGTTGAGCTTTTATCTGTTGATGGTTTATCTTCGGCTTGAAACAAACTTGGACTCTGGTCTTACCTCCCAAAGTACATGATATAGGTTACCGCAGTGGGTGATCTACTGTTTGTTCTGGTCTATGTCATGAAATGTGTAGGGACAAAGAAAATATATGTTTGAAGATTTCTAACCCATTTCAGTAATTAGAGGAAATGAAAGTTTTTTTTTAATATAGGACTAGGCTTACATGCTTCAAATTGGATGAACTTTTATCCACATATGTTGATGTGTCCATTAGGGTGAAAAATGTGGACTGCTCAGTAGTTAGTCATTCTATAGTTGTTAGTTGCCTGAATGAGATTAACAAACTCTAGGGAGGCCAAAACGCTCAAATCCAATAACATCATTCACAAAATATCACCATGAGCATGGTGCTAGACAGTAAGTTGTTACAAACTTTCTTTTAGCCCTATTGGACATCAAGCCTTCTTCCATTTATTTTTCCTTGAAACACTGCATGATATAAACCTCTGTAAGCACATGCACACAGCAATATCATCATGTAGGTGCAGGCATAGCTCTCACCAGTGTGCCCTGACCATATGGAATCTATTGTTTAGGTGATGAGCTGGCAATGTAGATATTTTGATAGCTTGTACAGTCCACTTGAAAGAACTTTGTACACTTTTATTGATCTTATGCTGATATTGTTTAGGTGCGCAATGTCATGATCGAGAACATTGATAAAGTCCTGGAAAGAGGAGATCGATTGGAATTATTGGTTGATAAAACTGCAAATATGCAAGGAAATACAATTCGCTTTAGAAAGCAAGCTCGGCGTTTCAGAAACACAGTGTGGTGGAGGAATGTTAAGCTCACGTGTGTACCTTTTTTGCTGAAACAATTTTACTTTATTCAATTTTAGCACTGCCTAGCATGTTTAACATTTTTCTTGTTGTAACTGCTTAATCTCTCTGTAGGTCTTAGGAAAGATACGCTAAGAACATTGTCGAGTAAAAAGTTGGAAAAGTTTCCCAAAACATTCATAGTAATGTATAAAAGCTTCTTCTTGAATAGAGAAACAAGTAATCTGCAATATGATTAGTGGCATCATATTAGTAGATTAGGCTACGTCTAGTGAAAAACCTAAAAAGGGCTGTACATGCTTATTAACAGAATAATAAGCATGTGACAATATAAATTGGTATGATGTCATAATTATTTATAACATGTATGATAATCCTTTTAAAGTTACTTTAAGTAGGTTTTACTCTCATATAAATAAATTCAGATATGGACATCTTTATTTGATGATTTATGAGCACAAATATGTCATAAACCTTGTGAAGGGAATCTTTGCTAGCTGTGTTTTTTAGATTTTTTTACTCTGAAGATTATGGCGTTCCTGATAGTACTTGAACTCTTTATCCATCTTGTTCTGGTATCATTTCCTATTTCTTTCTCGTGTATTCCACATGATTATTACAGAAACTTTATGAACTATGTAGTCACTAGTCATGTAGTCCATTGAAATAAAGATAAAATATGTGCGTTTGAACTCTTTTTTCCATCTTGCACTCATCACTTGTTCCTTCTAATGTACTCCACATACACTAGGCAAAAGCTTTATAAATTATGTAGTCATGTAGTCCAATGGATAAAGACACAATACTATTGATTTTGTAGATTGGTAAGAACTTATTAGCATTTGGCTTCATGTCATTGTATCATTGATTATATACATGGTAGGCTAATGTTAAAACTTATCTCATGTACTATCAATGTCTTAAGTCAATGGTTATAAACCTCAGGTGTTATGCATACCTAGATTATCTCATGTACTATCAATGTCTTAAGTCAATGGTTATAAACCTCAGGTGTTATGCATACCTAGAACTTGCAATACAGCTCGTCAATGTCTTAAGTCAATGGTTATAAACCTCAGGTGTTATGCATACCTAGAACTTGCAATACAGCTCGAATCTGATGTTTAATTGTTTTTCGCCTAATGTATTAACTAAACTGTAGAGCAGAAATTTCTAAACTATGTTTAAATTTGTTTCTCACAGGCATTGTCATATTTAAAATCCATATAATAAATTGTTCAAGCACACCATTCGACTCCTTAACATTAAGCCTATCCTCAAAACATGTTAGCTGGCACTTTATGAAATGTATTCAACTTGCTGATGCGAAACAATTTTTTTGCAGGATTGCATTGATTCTTCTTCTTTTGGTTATCATATATGTCGTGCTTGCTTTCATGTGTCATGGGATAACACTTCCAACTTGTTTCAGGTAATAATTATCTATGTATTCTGTCCCTTCTCTGTTTTGATTGGCACAATGCTATTGGTTTGGCTTTGTTTTGCAACGGTTTGTGTTGCACCTGGCATTTGTAGACAATGTAAACTGAGTGTGTGGATTTTCTATTGCGTACTTGGAAATCTTACAGTATTTTTGCGACAGAGAAAGATACAAGTTTGCGGTTTATCCATGTTATTTTGCTTCGGTATTGAAATGAGAAGGGAACTCGAGAAAAGTTGTTAACTATTTGTGCATGTGCGCATGTTGCGGCTTGCTTTCTTGTATTTTATTTCTTGATATAGAAACAATATCAAAAGTAGTTTTATATTCGGAGTAACACGAGAAGTTTGTCTGTGTCAGGTTGTTAAATAGTCCTAAGAGAGCCACTAATTATTCGGAATTGATTAGAAGACTCATTGGACCCAATTTGAGGCATAATTTCCAAGTTTTCTCCAATAACCAAGGAAGAGGATAGAAAATGACATCATTCATAAGGAGAAAAATAAAGCACAAAAAAAGAAGCAAAAAAGAAACTAAAGAGCAGAAGGAAGCCTTGCAAATCTATCGAGTATTCTAACGTTGCCCGTAATGTTTAATTTTTCTCCATTGATTATTATCTAACTCCACTAGGGCCCGTTTGGATAATAGAAGTATTGGAAGTAAGAAGTAGGTTATAAAAGTAACTTTCAAAACTATAAAGTAGGAAGTAGTGGAAATATTATTTTTTTGTTTCATATATTTTTAGAAGTAATGAAAGTAGAACTTCTTTCTCTTTATTTACTTTTTTTGTTCGGATAACATTTGAAAATATTACTAGGAAGTAATTAACATATGTTGCTTCCACAATTTTAAAGCCACGCCACGCTCTTTAATTTGATCTAGCATGTTACAACCAGTTTCATGTCGCTATGACCCCTCGCCACTTGAGAGCAAGAAGAATCCTTTAACCACATAGCTTCAAAATAATTGCTTACCTCTCGCCTACGATAAGACTCCGGATGACCATAAATTCCTATGAATCTCCAATTTCCTTCCTCCCTCGCTCCTTTGATCGTAACATCAACGTGGTATTTAGACAAACTGTTCTCTTCATCTCAAAGAAAAGTTGGCCAACGATCATCACAAATTACTACAAAATAATTATTAAAATTAAGAGCAATTTTATTAATGAAAAGTTGTTAGAAGTAACTAATAAGGAAATATTAATAAAAAATTATTTATTTTCTAATTAATATGCATTTCAACTACTTCCGAGCTACTTCCGAGTATTGATAATTGGAAAAATATTTTGAAAGTAAAGATGACATGTAGGCGCTACATAAGCGTTTAAGAAAATATTGAAAGTAAGTTTTTTAAAGAACCAAACATATTTTTTGCTTGGAAGTAGCAGAAGTAGCATCTACTTCTTTTACTTCAGCTACTTCATAATTACTTCTGTGCAAACAAATAGACTGTTTGCTTCCTTTGTACTTTGCAACTTCACGTTGAAAAAGGACCCACAATATCAAAATCCTAAATTTTTACTAAATACGTAGTCTGATCAGCATCTTTTCTATCATGTTTTTAGGGTTGCAAGAAACGATAAATGCATCAATTCTAATTCCCTAAAAAAGTGCTAATATTACTATAATTTTCACCGTGGCTTATCAAAAAAAAAAGGAAAAACAAGGGATATTATATCAATATTATCCCTAATAAATTCTCGTGCACCCAAATTTTTTGATTGGATTTGTTATTGAACAAATTCCTTTTATTATGCATGCATACAAACAACATTTTTTGCTTTGTTTGGGAGTTTACTACTGGATCGAAAGGAAAGTTATTTAATGGAAAGTAAAGATAGAGAATGAGAGGAAAAAGATAAAATGTTGTTTGGGAGTTTAGCAAGGAGAATGGAATTAAACATAATTTATCTTGTTTGAGAGTTTTACTAAATGGAGGGAAGTGAAGTGAATATATGTGAAGTTACATGAATGTCCTTACATGTTATTAAAATATTTTATCAACTAATAAATAATAGGGAAAAATTGTCTCTCTATATTGTTAAAATTTACACTGTTCATTTTACATCATTT